ACGACAGTTTTCAGGACACCACCTGCGTGACCCCCGGCAACCTGGTCAGCGTTCTCAGCGATATATTTCGGGATGTGTTTCCTTTTTGGAAGAAGAAACACTTTCTACGATAATTGGCGCCGTTGTGGTTGCATCTGACAACGAAAACGACAAGAAGATTTCTTTGGAAAATTTTATCCAGTGCTTTGCGGAGGGGCCGCGGATCCTTTCGATTGATTCATCCTCATCGCCACTCTCCAAGAGTTTATCGGGCGATGAGCTTCTAACTGTTTCGCATGTTCTGCATGAGCTGGGCAAGGACGCCAATAGTAATGGGTGCGTGCAGGAGCCGGAGGTTTTGGAGGCCATCAGAAACGCTTTTCGATCTGATTTGAAGCAGACGGATCGTGTTCTTCAGTACGTGCGCGATAAAATAAATCGACATAACTCTAGCAGCTCTTTGATAGTAGAAACCTCCGTAAAGGACGGTCCGTGTTACAAGGATGGTTTTTTGAACTCTGAGTCAAGGGTTATGCCAGAGTCAAGGGGGAACAATGCGGTGAAAGAGGGCTCTGTGACAGTGCTCAAGGGAGATGTGACACATGAGAGCCCACCAACAGGTATTGGAGTTCCAGCTCTTCTTGCAACCCGCAAGAAACCAAAGTCGCAGCAACGACGTCATTTTGCTATGAATTCCACTGCGTCGGATGCAATAGTGAAGCATCATGCATGCAGTTACTTGGGCTTCGCCTACGATACCGCTGACAGGGCTATCTTTGATAATGAATTGCAGGCGGAGTTCAAAAAGTACGCTGGTGAAGGCCAAGATTACATTGACCGTGACAGGTTCATCAAGGCTTATATTTCCATGGAGCATTATGGTTTGATTCCAACGGAAAATGAAGCAAATCGAGTTCTTTCCCGGTATTGTACCGGGGACAAGGTGCACTATAATGAATTTTGTATCATCATGCTGCAGCGTGCTCGTATGTAGGGTTAGGGGCGTCAAGCGATTGCTGTAAGACTTACTCCGCGAGGCGGCGTGGAGTTGTTTTTTTTTTTTTTTTTTGGACGTGTATTAATTTTATTATTACCATTATCATTATTATTGATGTACAAAGTTTTGGCTTTTCCATTCTTACGAGATCGTTGAATGATAAACACAAAAGAGACAAGGCAGTGCAAAGAAGTTTAAATGACTTTTTTTTTTTTTTTTGAGCAATTTTCTCTTTGCCGGCTTTTTAAAATTATCATTATCATTATTATCATTATTGTGCTCCCTATCATTTGCAATTTGCTCGGCATCGGAGTCAAACCGTATTTCTCGTATGTAGTATATATAGTTTTCCTATAGAACATGATGTGTATTATACCGGGTATTTACGTTTGTTACTGTCTTACTCTGTTGTTTACTGAAGATGGGGTGGAAACGCGCTGTAATTTTTGTGTTTCTTTATTTTTTTATTTATCTTGAGTCTTTTTTCAAGATATGGAAGGTTAGGCTTTTGTTATTTGTTTATTTACTGACCAGGACCCTGAAGAAAGAGGAATAATTTCTTGGACGACCGCCGCAGTCCACTCCAGGGGAACGAAGGAATAAAAAAAAAAGGATCTGTCTTTCGTTTGGCTTTGTTATGGCAATATGACTGCTTGTGGATTCTTCCCTTCGTAAGTGTTTTATTTCACAAGCTGCCGAGGGGACGTTGGCGTTCTTTCAATTTTTTGTGGCTGGACAGGCATTCAACGAGGAGTTTGGCTGCGATGCATTGAACTGGGGATCGTAGTTCTCCTTTTTTTTGTGTGTGTGCGTGCGAGCTGTTGCGGACACAGACGATTGTATTTATTTTACAGCAACACCGCCAGCGCGTGGCAGCCGGTGTGATTTTTTTTTTCCTTGGGCCTTTGATGCCGCTGGTTCCTACTGCGCGTGGTTCCATTTATTTTCATCAACCTTCGTTGCATACAACGGAAACACTGAGTGGGTTTTCCTTGTGCGGCATAAGTGTTTGAGAAACGATTGGGGGAAAATGCACACGAACGTGTGTTAACAGACTGGGGCGGTTTTGTAGGGAAATTGACGGGGTTAAGCTGTGTGCATCGTTCCCGTGATTTTGCTGGAATCTTTCCGACAGTTTCTTGGCTCACAACATATGATTTTTGCTTTTACCGTGCAATGCTTCAGGGAAGTCAATGGGCTTACATGGTGATTGGCTACTGTGGAGGCATTGGCTGCGACAGTTGTAGGGAAACGGTTCAACGGTTGGAGCAGGGCGCCCATTGCACTCTGCAGTGCACATTATTTGGTTTTTGCTATTGTTGTTTGGGGATTTTTGTCCTGGCCCCTCGCATCGGCGTGAGGCAGGCAGTGTTGAAGCTTCTTCATCTTTTTATTTCTGGTCTGGAGCGCCGGCGTGGATGAACAGGTGTGGCATCGGGTGATTCTTTTGCGTGTTTTATTATTATTATTATTTTTTTTTTTGGTTTGAACTCTCTCTCCTGTAGGCGTCGCTTTATCAGTGAATTAGTGATATTTTCCTTTTTTAGCTCTTTTTGCTGTGTCTTCATTCCATTGACCGGGTCGACTTTGCCATGCTGCAGCATTCGAAGATTGACATGATATTCAAGTCGCTTCGCGACGTTGTTGTTGTCGGTGACAACGACATGGTGATTCTTGACATGAACCGTTCTGCGTGCGACTTTTTTGGCTGGAGCGTTGAAGAGGTGCGGGGCAAAAGCATCACATTCCTCATTCCCAAGTATCCCCTTGATGTTTCCGATGGCACCGTGACGCTTGTTGCCCGGTTGAAAAACTCTGTCGACATCCCTGTTGTCATCCAGTCAACGCGTGATCCGCATGCGAGCATGGTGGGGTGGACTATACTGCCGATCATCCTCCCACGTGTGTTTGACTTTGGGGTGCACATGAACCTTCGCGCCGCTCTCACACCAAAACTTTCCGTGGATGACTTGGATTTCCAGTCGCGCCGCGTTTTTGTGCGCGTGGACTTTAACGTGCCCTTCGACAAGGCTACGCAAAACATTCGGGATGACAGCCGCATCCGTGCCTCCATCCCGACCATCATGAAAATTGTCCGTGATGGTGGTCGTGTCATTGTTGCTTCGCATCTTGGGCGGCCGAAAAAGCCGGACGATCGGCACTCGCTAAAGAGGATCTTACCCCGTTTTGAGGAGCTTCTTGGCAAAAAGGTGGTTTTCTGTCCAAGCCTGGAAGAGGCGCCCCGAATCGTCAACGCCATGAAAAATGGAGAAATCATGCTTTTGGAGAATCTTCGTTTTTTCCCAGGTGAGGATGCGACGCACACTGTGGAGCGCAATCGGATGGCATTAAAGTTAGCATCCTTCATTGACATTTACGTTTGCGATGCATTTGGTACAGTGCATCGAATGACAGCAAGCATGACTGGTCTTCCGCGTATATTGGGGGCTGGTGTCACAGGCTACTTGATTGACCGTGAGATCAGGGCGATTAGTATGGCGATGCACAACCCCACTCTTCCATTACTCTGCATTGTGGGGGGTGCAAAGGTCTCAGACAAGATCACTGTGCTTTCGAGCATCATGAATTTTGCCCAGACCATTATTATCGGTGGCGCCATGGCCTACACTTTTCTTGAGGCGCAAGGGCATTCATGTGGTAACTCCAGGGTGGAGCGCACCGCGAGAGAAAAGGGACGGGATTTGGATCTTCATGCTATCGCACGGGAATTAATAGATCGCGCAAGAGCAAAGAAGGTACGAATCATTCTACCCGTGGATCATAACTGTGCCAAGTCGTTCAGCAACGAAGTACCGTTTACGACAAGCGGGGCAGATATACCAGATGGGTACATGGCCTTGGATTTTGGCCCGAAGACAAATGCGATTTGCTCCAAGGCAGTGGCAGAGTGCCGAACGCTCCTCTGGAATGGACCCGTGGGCGTGTTTGAGTTTTCAAATTTCGCCACAGGGACAGTTTCCTTGGCGGAGGCAATCCAACGGAATGACCGACTCGTTTCCATCGTGGGTGGAGGTGAGACGGCAGCAGCCACGAAGCGTTACAAGAGCAGCATCACGCACACCAGCACGGGGGGAGGGGCTTTTTTAGAGCTTCTTCAAGGCAAAGCCCTTCCAGGGCTCATATGTCTCACGGCTCAGGCCGAACCCAGGCTATGACGGGGGCGGGGTGTAGTTTAATACATTTGGAGAGAAACAACGTATTGTGCGGTGGCAGTAAAAGAGGGAAAAATATGAGAAATGCTGCACGAATTGTGAGGAATACAAGGAGAGTGTACACATCCTCCTTTTAGTGGAAATCAACGGTGTCTGAAAAGGAAAGAGGGGGAAAAACAGATTATGGGTATGAGGGGGTGATAACGTCGGGACGGGTGGAAACAAGTGAGTGGGTTTATCTTCAAGCAAAGGGGTTGCCGGTGTTTTTTTCTGCAAGGCACACTACAGAGTATGATCTGGTGCTATATATATATATATAATACTTCTTTTTTACTCTCTTTTTTCACACGCTTGACGAAAGGTATCTGTGAAGATGCTCATTTGGCGACAAGCTGGTTTTCATACCGTCTCTCTGTTTTTTTCAGTTTGCTTATATATATACATATATATATACTTAATTTACTCTTCTTCACCGGTGTCGTTTGAAGCAGCCAAGCCAGTAAGGAAATTTCAGAAGAGGAGAGGAGTAGGAAGAGAGGGAGAAACAAGGGAGAATAAAACGAATAAGAAGGGGGTCGAAAGAAAGGGAATAAAGGGTTAAAAGGAAAAGGACCCACAGGGAAAAATAACAACAAGTAATCAATAAGAACAAAAGGGGGACCATGAGCTTACTAGATCCAAACGATCCAGCACTAGCACAGCGATTGAACCAGCTTGCACAGGACGCTAATTCCATGAATCGTGCAGACAGAGAGAAGGCAGAGCGTGAAATCAGGGAGTTTCAGAATCATGTTGATGAGCAATCTGGATTTGTCCTATTGCTGCTCAATATGGCCGTTACACCTGGGCCCGCCGATTCATTCTGTTCTATTGTGTTCAAAAACACAGTTAAGATGTGTTGGAACGCGGCAACAGCAGAACATTGTATCACAGAGACGGACAAGACGATTGTACGTGACACCATTACAAGGGCTATGTTTCGCGCTGCTCCCAATGTTCAGCGGAACCTTGCAGAGGCCATCACAATGATAGCGGAGATTGACTTTCCGAAGGCCTGGCCAAATGCTCTTGATTGCATTGTGCAAGTGTTGATGGTGGAAAAGGATCAGGCGATGCACTGTGCCGCATTATCCACAGCCCATGGTATACTTGGGCGATATCGCAGTCAAACCGATCTCTCTGAGGATTTTGTGAATGATTTAAGAATTATATACACAGCGTTTACTTCTCCATTGCTTTTATCGATGGAATTACTTTTGGGCGAAATGGACAAGGGAGGTGTGGGATGCAAAACAGCGTCGCAAGGGTTGACTTCAGCGGTGGAGTGCCTGCGTGACCTGACCACTCTCGATCTTGGCGATGAGTTTATTTGGTGCATGGAAAAGTTTGTGAGTGTTCTTCTGCGCTGTCTTCAGTTTACGAATCCCGGTGTTGATGGGGTAAGTTTGATTGAGCTTAAGACTGTGGTGATGGAATGTGTGACACACTTTTTGCTGCAGTTTTCTGAAGACTTTGAGAAGTATGCTGGCGAGTTTCTCAGGGTCGTCTGGGACACCATCGCTTCCCCGTTGAGCTGCGAAAGCACTATGGACGATATCGTCATTCAAGGGATGAACCTTTTGTCAGCCGCCTGCCGTGGGTCTATGCGGGATATCTTTAACAATACAGAACATCTTGAGAACCTTGTGGCTCATGTTATTTTGCCGAATCTTGCCCTGCAGCCTGATGACATTGAATTGTATGAAACGGAACCATTTAGTTATATTCAGCGAGATGTGGAGGGTAGTGATTTTCACACTCGAAGACGAGAGGCGGGGGAGTTGG